TACAGAAAACGTTTGACCTGTGTCATTGCCAACAAAGGGTATATAACAAAGTATTGAGAAACTTTTTTGTTATTGACCAAATACTTATTTTCCACCATAATTTGCAAATAAATTCATTAAAAATCCTACAATGTGATTTTCTGGATTTTTTTTTCTCATTTTGTCTGTCATAGTTGACGTGTACATATGATGAAAATTACAGGCCTCTCTCATCTTTTTAAGTGGGAGAACTTGCACAATTGGTGGCTGACTAAATACTTTTTTTCTCCACTGTATATATACAAACATTAGGGACACCTTCCTAATATTGAGTTGCACCCCCTTTTTCCCTCAAAACAGCCTAATTTCGTTGGGGCATGGACTCTACAAGGTGTCAAAAGCGTTCCACAGGGATGCTGGCCCATGTTGACTCCAAAGCTTCCCGCAGTTGTGTCAAGTTGGCTGGATGTTGTTTGGGTGGTGGACCATTCTTGATACACACGAGAAACTGTTGAGCATGAAAAACCCAGCAGCGTTGCAGTGCTTGACACAAACCAGTGCACCTGGCACCTACTACCATACCCCGTTCAAAGGCACTTACATTTTGTGTCTTGCCCATTCACCCTCTGAATGGCACGCATACACAATCCGTGTCTCAGTTGTCTCAATAATTCAAAATCCTTCTTTAGCCTGTCTCCTGCCCTTCATCTACAGTGGATTTAACAAGTGACATCAATAAGGGATCATAGCTTTCACCTGGATTCACCTGGTCAGCCGATGTCATGGAAAGAGCAGGTGTTCTTAATGTGTTGTATACTCAGTCTATACTGTGGTGGTGGCAGTTTTCAACTTCCCCTTGGCTTGGAGACCAATGTTACTGTAAGATCCTCTCTGACCCACTGTCTTTCTGGTGCTTCAAGAATATGCTTCTCAAGGACATTTCATCACACCACTTCGGGTGGGATTATTTTGCAGCCCTCTCATTGCTTTTAGTGTAAGTCTGTCATCTTTCCATTGGTTTCTTAATGTTTTATTCCATTTAAGTTTCGTTATCTTTCCTTAGTTCATGGAGTAGCCCTCAGACACAGACAGACCAGCTCAGACCTGATGTAATGGCTGCCACTACTCTCTAGGCTAAACATTGTTGTTTTTTCACTATTGCAGGTCACTATTCACCCTGGAAGACCCCTAAACAGGTAAAATGCATTGTCTTCCGAGCCTCAGCTCTCCTATTAATTCTAATTGACTCATTTAGTTAACAAAATGGCTGCACTGTGCATATGTGTTGGAGCTGATTTACTTTATAACCTTAAATCTATATCTTCTGAACTGTGGCTGCAGTCTTGCTGCTGTTTAGCTGAGAATGACTGCTCTATTCTATTCCCTTCCCTTATACTAACTGTAGTGCTGTTGTCGTGTCTCGGCTGCTGCTGTATCCTGGCCTTGAGTTGGACCCTTCCTCTTGCCGTCACATGCAGAGGAAAGGGTTAAGTGGCCCACTCATAGATATAGAATTACTAGACTCGTCATACCGCGAGCCAGACGGGCCATGATCTAAATAAATCTTGATGGTCATTCTATGTGGACTATGCACATGACAGTCTATGTCTATGCAAACTGCTAGACCAAATGCTCTTCTAGTAATGCTATATCTATGGTCCAGACTCTGGGTTGGCATGGTCCCCTCAACATTCCATCCTTCTCTCAGCTCCTCTGTGTCCCTGATAGAGAGAGTGAGAGAACCCTTTTCTAACAGTCATACCGAGAAATGATCACTCATCCATTCTTCCCTTCTTCCTTCATCTCCAGGCTGCTATTGATCTGCTACTAACTTAGCTATCTTTCCTGATCATCTTTTGTCATATCTATATTTTCTCCGATGTCATATATGTCAGTATTTTTAGTTTTTGTCTAGACAGATTGTACTAACATGTTGAAAGCTGAAACTTTCAAGATGTCTGAGACCTCTTAGACAACACTCTGCTCAAACCTAGCCTCCTCAGACTCCTCTGTCTGTCTGTCTGTCCTTCTGTCTGTCTGTGTGGACTCTCTGTCCCCAAACACTCAATAAACACTTGTCATCCAGACATGAAAGAGCTGCACCAATGCCTCTCAGAGCACTCTCTGAGTCGAGTTAGACATGGTGTATTGCCAAGAAACAAGGTGTGCGCGCGGGGTGTGTGTGTATGTCTATTCCCATAACCAGCTAATCATTTCTAGTCTGCGATTCATAAAGAGCGCCACAATGCTCCGAGCCCTGAGAAGTAACATGGGTTTGCCAAGACAGGTCGGCAGCGTGTTCAGTTCATTCCAATGCTACGTTCTTAGTCTGCTCTGATAAACAGTACTAACAGTCTTTGTGTCCGCGTCAAATTCACACATCCATGACTCGACAAGCAGTTTTTGTTATCCTGCTGCAGAGTCTCTCAAGCCTCACGGATTTCTTATGGCTAATTTCGTCCCTCTGTTGAATCTTCAGTTTCCAACAGTTAGATGGATCGATCTGAGCAGAGAAGAGTGCGGGAAAAATGAGTCAGGCAGGCAGGGGTCCAGCGAAGCGCTATTTTTTCTCTCTTAGGTCTTTCTGCTTGTAAGGTAGGATTGCTTAGGAGTACTTAGGAGTCTCTACGAGAGAGTCTCTCTTTCTGCCTATCGACTATTCTTATCTACATGAGCCTCGAGGTTGATCTCTCTCTCTTCTTCTTCCTCTCTCTCTTCTTCTCTCTTCTCTCTCTCCCTCTCTCTCTCATCTCTCTCTCTCTCTCTCTCTCTCTCTCTCTCTCTCTCTCTCTCTCTCTCCTCCCCCCCCTAGCGCGTATTTGTTCCTCTCCACACATTGAGCTGTGATGGTGAAAAGGCAGAACAGGCTTCAGAGCACCAGCAGCTGCCAACCGCCCCCAACACAGAGTTCAAGCCAGGTTTAATTGGATATCATTAGTTCCAGGACGATTTCCGTAGCCCAAAGAATCCAACATGGATGCAAAGTTTGAAAACAGAGACATGGGGAGTTCTGGAATTGTGATTTAAAGTTGGCACAAATACTAATGATGCCCTGCCTTCCGAATTCAGTTTGGAACAAAGCCTGTGCATACAGTGCCTTCGGAAAGTATTTAGACCCCTTGACTTTTTCCACATTTTGTTGCGTTACAGCCTTATTCTAAAATGGATTACATAAAAAAAATCCTCAGCAATCTACACACAATTCCCAATAATGACAAAGTGAAAACAGGTTTTTAGAAATGTTAGCAAAAAAACACTTATTTACATAAGTATTCAGACCCTTTGCTATGAGACTCGAAATTGAACTCAGGTGGATCCTGTTTCCATTGATCATCCTTGAGATGTTTCTACAACTTGATTGGAGTCCACCTGTGGTAAATTCAAATGATTGGACATGATTTGGAAAGGTACACACAGGTCTATATATGGTCCCACAGTTGACAGTGCATGTCAGAGCAAAAACCAAGCCATGAGGTCGAAGGAATTGTCCGTAGAGCTCCGAGACAGGATTGTGTCGAGGCACAGATCTGGGGAAGTGTACCAAAAAATGTCTGCAGCATTGAAGGTCCCCAAAAACACAGTGGCCTCCATCATTCTTAAATGGAAAAAGTTTGGAACCACCAAGACTCTTCCTAGAGCTGGCCACCTGGCCAAACTGAGCAATCTGGGAGAAGGGCCTTGGTCACGGAGGTGACCAAGAGCCCAATGGTCACTCTGACAAAGCTCTAGAGTTCCTCTGTGGAGATGGGAGAACCTTCCAGAAGGACAACCATCTCTGCAGCACTCCACCAATCAGGCCTTTATGGTAGAGTGGCCAGACGGAAGCCACTCCTCAGTAAAAGGCACAGGACAGCCCGCTTGGAGTTTGCCAAAAGGCACCTAAAGACTCTCAGACCATGAGAAACAAGATTCTCTGGTCTGATGAAACCAAGATTGAACTCTTTGGCCTGAATGCGAAGCGTCACGTCTGGAGGAAACCTGGCACCATCCCTACGGTGGAGCATGGTGGTGGCAGAATCATGCTGTTTTTGAGCGGCAGGGACTGGGAGACTAGCCAGGATTGAGGCAAAGATGAACGGAGCAAAGTACAGAGAGATCCTTGATGAAAACCTGCTCCAGAGCACTCAGGACCTCAGACTGGGGTGAAGGTTCACCTTCCAACAGGACAACGACCCTAAGCACACAGCCAAGACAATGCAGGAGTGGCTTCTGGACAAGTCTCTGAATGTCCTTGAGTGGCCTAGCCAGAGCCCGGACTTAAACCTAATCAAACATCTCTGGGAGAGACCTCAAAATAGCTGTGCAGCAACGCTCCCCATCCAACCTGACAGAGCTTGAGAGGATCTGCAGAGAAGAATGGGAGAAACTCCCCAAATACAGGTGTGCCAAGTAGCATTCATACCCAAGAAGACTCAAGGCTGTAATCGCTGCCAAAGGTGTTTCAACAAAGTACTGAGTAAAGGGTCTGAATACTTATGTAAATGTAATATTTCCGTTTTTTATTTTTAATGAATTTGCAAACATTTCTAAAAACCTGTTTTTGCTTTGTCATTACGGGGTATTGTGTGTATCAATTTAATACATTTTAGAATAAGGCTGTAACCTAACAAAATGTGGAAAAGGTCAAGGGGTCTGAATACTTTCCGAAGGCACTGTATATGAGTATATTCTCATATAATCATGAGAGTGATGGACAGAATATACCGTAGTATGTAGTACTATTGGTGTGCATGCAGAGTCAGTTTATGGCCAGACCTGAGAGTGTTGAGTGTAGGAAACAGCAGTCTCTAGCAACATACAAGTCCTACAGTCTTAAAGAGCTTGACTGCCTGTGACTAAATGAGAGGGGGAGAGAAAGAAGGAGAAAGAGAGAAGGAAAGAGGGTGAGATAGAAAGAGAGAAGGGGGAGAGAATCAATTAAATTCAAAACAACTTTATTTTATCCCTCTCAGGGCCAGTTAGGAAAGACATTGCCATACTTCATACTTCACTTAGTACATATAATAGATGGAGGGAGAGAGATGGAGGAGGAGGAGGAGGAGGAGGAGGAGGAGGAGGAGGAGGAGGAGAAGGAGGGTAGGGGGAGTGACAGTGCTGTAGTCTGGTCCCAGACTTAATAAGATCCCCTGACTGTCACCCTTGCCATTACACGGCCAGACACTCAGACATTCCATAGGTCAGTAGCAGAGATGGGTGGAACCACACAGAGTGGGAACACTTTGATATTGCCTTGGTTTGATGGAACCAGATGACTTGGCAGTGTCATCTCACAACTGCTACTATGAATACACAGCTCCTGATATCAAACAAGTCATTTTATCGGGTGGTATTAGAGAGAACTATAATTCTCAGTCTCATCCTAACATATCAATATGTCATCTTCACGATCTACTCTACACCACTCCGTTTTCTAAAAACAACTGACATTTGTGCCAACACAAGAAAGCAGCTCAGCTTGTCAAAATAGGTCATAGAGTGTATCACTTCAAATAATCAGTGTGGTACTTATTTCGAATGGGAAGAGAAATCATTGTTTATGCACTTATCATTTATCTGTCTTGTTTGGTTTTACACCCGCATACATTACAGCTTCTCTCTCTTCCTCCTGGATGCACACTGAGTGGTTTGGAATTAAACGCTGCTGAGAGTAATTGGGACAAAACAAGCCTCTTTTGACACTAGCACTGCTTGCTTTTCTGCATTGTCAAAATGGAGCCATGAGTGTGTTAGAGACACCACAATAGAGTTTTCCACAATAGAGACACCACACATTATCCACCACATCCACATTCCATAATAGCCGCAGAACACACACACACACACACACACACACACACACACACACACACACACACACACACACACACACACACACACACACACACACACACACACACACACACACACACACACACACACACACACACACACACACACAGGCTCATCTAAGAGATTCTCTGAGGGGGGTGAATGCTTTGTGTTTGCACTCCTCCTATCACCATGCCCCTCTTGCATCCACTACAGTCTCTATCATAGAATGTCTTGGGCCGTAGCCAGCCTCTGTGTGCCCACTTTGGCCATTTGCCATCTTCCGACGACGACGACGACGACAGTGGCACACTGACATGTTTAATATGCTCTGCGCCTGCCTCCCTCTTCCTCCCAGCAGCCCTGAGCTGGTGTGTCTGTGCTGCTCTCTCTCTCCCCCTCTCTTCATAATTAACACACTGCTTTTCAGGACCTGCTTTAATAAGCTTTGGCCTTTTTTTTTTCTTCTTTAAAACATTTCTTCACCTCTCCTCTCTTCATCTTTGTTGTTGCCACCGGCTGGCGCTCATGTTGCTTTGTTGCATTACTCCCACTAATATTAGACTGCTGTAGTGAATGACAGTCAATGACATCGATGAAGACCTCTATCCCCACCTGTATACTATTAATAGCTTGCTCTCACCTCATTTGGTTTGTCTAAGATGAAGTTGTTAGAATACCAGGACAGCGCCCCCTTGCATACGTCTCAAGGATGTTCAGATAGGGTTTTCAGTAAGAGTAAGGACCGGGTGAGAACCAGGGTAGGGGTGGTGGAGACTGAACCAATGCCCTGATGTCTGATGTGTTTACAGGTGTTGGAGCAGTGGGACGCGGCCCAAGGCCAGGGAGGGGGTCAGGGCAGCCCCCAGACCAGTCTGTCTGCCCCCGTTGTCCCCCACAACGCCCCCTTCCTGACCCGCCACCTCCACAGGGCCTCATTCCCAGACTCTGCCTTCCCCGAGGGCTTTGATCTGAGCAGGCCCGACCCCTATGACCTCTATGAGAAGTCCAGGGCTATCTATGAGAGTAGTAGGCGTAAGTACTGAAAACACACAACTGCAACAACAACAACAACATCAGCATCAACAACAACAACAGCCCCCTCATATCTGTCTGGGGTTTCAGTGGTTCATTTTCTTTTAAACAGGTGGACCTATCAAGGTGTACACAAACACACTCATACACACACACACACCTCACCTCTTGAATGAATCATTGTAGCCCTCGTGAACAGTAGTCAGGGCTCCATAGTACAATTTAACAATGGCCTCAGCACCACCTGTTCTGTTCCTAAAGGGACATAGTCTGGGTTGACTGGGTCCTGCAGAATGAGATATATTATGTTGTTTTGTCTGTAGATGTATTTCTGTAAATATGATGGAGTATGACAACAGTTTAAGAGTTTGATACTTTTATCTTAATGCTGACAGATAACTTGATGTTGATACATTTGTTCTAGGCCCAGGCTTCCCCCATTAGGGGAATCTCTGAATGTCTCGCGGATCTCTGCCTCCAGTTGATGTTCTGCAGAGTGTATAATCAAATGAGCTTTTTTTTCAGGAATATCTCAGCCGTACACAGCTGGAAACCTTAGGAGCCAACAATTATATTTTAGCCATTAGAGATCCTGTCAGAGGTACAACCATAGGGACTTCCTTTCAGTTCATTTAGTGTACGACCAAGCTTTTAACTGGGAGTTTTGGGGTTAACAAGATATGCACTGTAGAAAGTTTTGTATGACAGTATACCATTGGTTTTTAACATCAATAGTCATATCTAATGTATGATTCTGAACATAAAGTGCACTCATCCTTTTGACCAGTGCTAGTGACAGTGCTAGTTTCTGTTAAGTCCTTGCAGGTTGCTGTACCATAGAGGCTTCATGATTGACATGCGAGGGTCCAGCCAGTAGACATGATGATGCTCTGCTCCTCTCTATGGTAGAATCTCTGCGGTCCTTAGTCAATCGTAGGCTACAGTAGATAGAGAGACGAGCTGTGTGCACGCTTACCCAACACAACCTTTATGAAAGAGGACAGGGCTGTCGGAAGAACTCCACGTCAAAGCCTTCCAGGGTCTCTGTCTCTCTTTCTCTGTATATTTCCTCTCTACCTCTCTCCATCTCTCTCTTTTTATCTGTATCTCTCTCTCTCTCTCTCTCTCTCTCTCTCTCTCTCTCTCTCTCTCTCTCTCTCTCTCTCTCTTTCTCTCGCTCTCTCTCTCTCTCTCTCTCTCTCTCTCTCTCTCTCTCTCTGTCTGTCTCTCTCTCTTCTCTCACAGTCTCTCTCTGTCTCACTCTCTTCTCTCTCTCTTGCTCTCCCTGTTTCTCGCTCTTCCATTGTTTCTTTCTCTCCTTGACTTCCTTGTTTTCCGGTTGAGTCCCGTGTTCAGTTTAGTGTTAAGTATCTGTCCCCTCCGTGTAACATGCCCCCAAAGTGCTGTTCGCAGCTAGGCTACACTTGTTTTGGGTCAGTTAGGTTAACAGGGTTGAGGCACAGGGCAACTTTTAGGAACACTCTACTTCACAGGAGGTTAGTGGCACCTTAATTAGGGAGGACGGGCTCGTGGTAATGGCTGGAGTGGAATAGGTGGAATGATATCAAATACGTCAAACACATGGTTTCCATGTGTTTGATGCCATTCCATTGGCTCCATTCCAGCCATTATTATGAGCCATCCTCCCCTCAGCAGCCTCCACTGCTCTACTTGTCTCCCTCGGTGGTGTGGGTGTTATAGGTGATGAACATTGGTATTTTTCAGTAACCTTATCTAACTAGGACTGTTCCCAATACAGCCCATAACCAAAGACAAGTCAGTGTAGCTTCCACTGAATGTTAAGAAGGTTTTTGCCTTCAGATGTAGGATTTTAATTTGAGTCAGTTTACTACAGCTGGAAAAGAATCCTGCAGCAACAGGACATTTTAATTATTATGTGGATTATAATAAATATACATTTTTTGTAGGGGATGATGATACATTTTTTATTACAAACTTTAGAACGCGTTTTAAAGCTTGAATACACTACAAGGACAATTCTCAGCAACAAAATAGTGATCAAATTAAGATCCTACATCTGTAATTAGATGTCTTTATTCTAGTAGGGAACAAGAGACCCCATTGCATGTAAGAGAGCTGGAGATAGATGGAGATTTATGAATTGTGTACTTTACGTAAACTGCAACACACAGTCTGGAATATACCAAAATCAACCTCTAGCTAGCAAGGTCATTCTGTCCTTGTCTTCTGCCAACATCCATGAGTATTTTTTACAGCAATCTTGTTTAATATAAACTTAAAACACTGTATATGGGTTCCGTGGTAAGACTTGTGTCAGTCAGTCTCCTTCTGTGTCATCCTCCATCTTTGTTTCCTCAATTAATTCCTCTGGTATCCCAGTGGACACTGGTCTCCAGTGATTAAACCAGCTGAAAATAGAGCCCATTTCTCATCACAGTCACTTTGACCTGCTCTACTTCATTTCATAGGAAAGGGTTTTCAGGGTAATGAATATCATTACGTCGCAAATCATACTGCTTTCCAGTAAAGACCTGATTGCAGATGAGTGTCTGCTCCCCTAACACATACAAAAGATAGCTGTATTACATGCCGTAAGCACTTCTTCTCCACAGTATAATGGATGATGTAGGAACTCTGTGCAGACAATGTGCTGAGGGAAGTTTTTGTCTGTCTTGCTCTAGTCTGACATAGTCTTTTTAGTAGTCTGCTCTGAGTGAGACAGTTGTAAGACAATGTGTGTGTGTTGTATTATTGTTTATGGGTGCTCCCTCAATCTCCCTCCCCCATACAGAGCCAGGCATGCCGCGGACCACCTTCTCTGTGGACCACTCAGGTATGTACGGTGGCTCTGAAGGAGACCCCCCACAGGGAGGAATTGGGATTATTCTAACATTTATGAAAAACATTCTGGGTAACAAATATATACCTTACTGTAATAGATTTCCATAATATTTGCAAAAATAGCTTTTTAGCAAAACAAATATTTCTTAAGCAAGAATTTAGCAAGAGCGGGGAGGAGGAAACTGAAAACTAGCTGTTATTGGCAGAGAGGTTTGGAACTCTCTTTGTTATTGGTCTATTAACCAATGTACCGCATTGATGCCACCATGGAAAGCTGAAATTCCCGCCCATGCAAACCTGCTGATTAGAAGGTCCTGTGTAGATTATATTTTCAACCAGCAACTACCAGGAAATAACACTTTTACAGTGTTAGTTTCATCAGCTGTTGTACAATATTATATAAAAAACAGGAAAAACAGAATTTTGACTGCACAGTGCCTTTAATTTAATGTGTTAATTTCCACAATGTGTGATCAATAATCCTCTGGCTCCACATACATTAGACATTAGACTAAGGGCACTCCAAGGCCCACACGTTTCACAGGTGTTGTCTGTTCCTGGACTCCAGGGGCAGAGTACCAGGAGGTGGAGGTCCACCTGAGGAGGCAGAAGTCCGGCTTCGGCTTCCGCATCCTGGGGGGAGACGAGGCGGGACAGCCTGTGAGTCCGGACACCCGTGAGAAGGCTCGTATGGGATGGGCGTGGAACCCTGTCATTTTCTCCTTTCTAACCCACTACACACATATCTAACCCTGAACCCTGAACCCTGACTGACTGAGAGACTGGTGATGCTGCTGTGGATGGTTACTGGTTCATTGTCTGTAGAGTAACACTTAGCGCAAACATGGAGCGCACTTATCTATTCATAAGCACCGCTAATATAACAACCACTTATACATGTCATTTCACATACAGTTACTCACTGCATGTTTGTTGTCTACTTGACCATGGTTACATATCACTTCAATGTCGTCCTTCTATGAATGCAGCCCTCTGATTGGTCAACCGACTTTTTAAACCCTGACCCCTAGCTCTCTATGCGTTCTGATTGGTCTGGTTCCCATAAACAGATCCTGATTGGGGCCATCATAGAGAAGAGCCCGGCGGACAGAGACGGGCGCCTGCGGCCGGGCGATGAGCTCATCTTCGTGGACGGGATCCCAGTGGCGGGGAAGCCCCACCGCTATGTCATCGACCTGATGCACGGCGCCGCCCGCAACGGACAGGTCAACCTCACCATCAGGAGGAGGCTACAGGGCCCAGGTGAGAGGATGGGAGGGGACAGATCTAGGATCCGTTTACTGAAAACTCCTAATCTTAATCATTAGGGAGGAAAACGGAAATCTGACCTTAGATCATCCTCTAGGGTCAACTTCATCCTACTCCAAGGAGGCCTGAGTTCTCCTTCCTCTGGCCTTATGTGGACTCCAGCTGTTGTGTTGGACCATGAATTGTAGAGCTGCAAGAACATGCTGTGTAGTGAGTGTAGCAGACCCCTACAGACAGACACACACCTTCCCCCCTACACACAGACACACACCTTCCCCCTACACACAGACACACACCTTCCCCCTACAGACAGACACACACCTTCCCCCTACAGACAGACACACACCTTCCCCCCTACACATAGACACACACCTTCCCCCTACACTCAGACACACACCTTCCCCTACAGACAGACACAACACCTTCCCCCTACAGACAGACACACACCTTCCCCCCTACACACAGACACACACTTTCCCCCCTACACACAGACACACACCTTCCCCCTACACACAGACACACACCTTCCCCCTACACACAGACACACACCTTCCCCCTACACACAGACACACACCTTCCCCCTACAGACATACACATACCTTCCACCTACAGACAGACAACACCTTCCCCCTACACACAGACACACACCTTCCCCCCTACACACAGACAACACACCTTCCCCTACACACAGACACACACCTTCCCCCTACACACAGACACACACCTTCCCCCTACAGACAGACACACATCTTCCCCCTACAGACACACACCTTCCCCCCTACACACAGACACACACCTTCCCCCTACACACAGACACATACCTTCCCCCTACACACAGACACAACCTTCCCCTACACACAGACACACACCTTCCCCTACAGACAGACACACACCTTCCCCCTACACACAGACACACACCTCCCCCTACACACAGACACACACCTTCCCCTACACACAGACACAATCTTCCCCCCTACACACAGACAACACCTTCCCCTCCACACAGACACACACCTTCCCCCTACACAAACACACACCTTCCCCCTACACACAGACACACACCTTCCCCCTACACACAGACACACACTTCCCCTACAGACATACACACACCTTCCCCCCTACAACAGACACACACCTTCCCCCCTACACACAGACACACACCTTCCCCTACACACAGACACACACCTTCCCCTACACACAGAACACACCTTCCCCTCAACAGACACCACACCTTCCCCCTACAAAGACACACATCTTCCCCCCTACACACAGACACACACCTTCCCCCTACACACAGACACACACCTTTCCCCTACACACAGACACACACTTCCCCCCTACAGACAGGACACACACCTTCCCCCCTACACACAGACACACACCTTCCCCCCTACACACAGACACACACCTTCCCTCCTACACACAGACACACACCTTCCCCCTACACACAGACACACACCTCCCCCCTACACACAGACACACACCTTCCCCCTACAGACAGACATCTTCCCCCTACAGACAGACACACACCTCCCCGCCTACACACAGACACACACCTTCCCCCTACAGACACACCTTCGCCCTACACACAGACACACACCTTCCCTCCTACACACAGACACCACAACTTTCCCCTACAGACACACACCTTCCCCCCTACACACAGACACACACCTTCCCGCCAACACACAGACACACACCTTCCCCCTACAGACACACCTTCGCCCTACACACAGACACACACCTTCCCTCCTACACACAGACACACACTTTCCCCCTACAGACCACACACCTTCCCCCCTACACACAGGACACACACCTTCCCCCCTACACACAGACACACACCTTCCCCCTACAGGACACACCTTCGCCCTACACACAGACACACACTTTCCCTCCTACACACAGACACACACCTTCCCCCTACACACAGACACACACCTCCCCCCTACACACAGACACACATCTTCCCCCTACAGACAGACACCTTCCCCCCTACAGACAGACACACACCTTCCCCCTACAGACAGACACACACCTTCCCCTCTACACACAGACACACACCTTCCCCCCTACACACAGACACACACCTTCCCCCTACACACAGACACACACCTTTCCCCCTACACACAGACACACACCTTCCCCCTACAGACAGACACACACCTTCCCCCTACAGACACACATCTTCCCCCCTACACACAGACACACACCTTCCCCCCTACACACAGACACACACCTTTCCCCTACACACAGACACACACCTTCCCCCCTAACAGACAGACACACACCTTCCCCCCCTACACACAGACACACACCTTCCCCCTACACACAGACACACACCTTCCCTCCTACACACAGACACACACCTTCCCCCTACACACAGACACACACCTCCCCCCTACACACAGACACACACCTTCCCCCTACAGACAGACACCTTCCCCCTACAGACAGACACACACCTCCCCGCCTACACACAGACACACACCTTCCCCCTACAGACACACCTTCGCCCTACACACAGACACACACCTTCCCTCCTACACACAGACACACACTTTCCCCCTACAGACACACACCTTCCCCCCTACACACAGACACACACCTTCCCGCCAACACACAGACACACACCTTCCCCCTACAGACACCACCTTCGCCCTACACACAGACACACACTTTCCCTCCTACACACAGACACACACTTTCCCCCTACAGACACACACCTTCCCCCCTACACACAGACACACACCTTCCCCCCTTACACACAGACACACACCTTCCCCCTACAGACACACCTTCGCCCTACACACAGACACACACTTTCCCTCCTACACACAGACACACACCTTCCCCCTACACACAGACACACACCTCCCCCCTACACACAGACACACATCTTCCCCCTACAGACAGACACCTTCCCCCCTACAGACAGACACACACCTTCCCCCTACAGACAGACACACACCTTCCCCTCTACACACAGACACACACCTTCCCCCCTACACACAGACACACATCTTCCCCCTACAGACACACACCTTCCCCCTACACACAGACACACACCTTCCCTCCTACACACAGACACACACCTTCCCACCTACAGACAGACACACACTTTCCCCCCTACACACAGACACACACCTTCCCCCTACACACAGACCCACACCTTCCCCCTACACACAGACACACACCTTTCCCCTACACACAGACACACACCTTCCCCCCTACACACAGACACACACCTTCCCCCTACACACAGATACACATATTCCCCCCTACACACAGACACACACCTTCCCCCTACACACAGACACACACCTTCTTCCCTACACACAGACACACACCTTCCCCCTACACACAGACACACACCTTCCCCCCTACACACATACACACACCTTCCCACCTACAGACAGACACACACCTTCCCCCTACAGACAGACACACACCTTCCCCCCTATACACAGACACACACCTTCCCCCTACACACAGACACACATCTTCCCCCCTACACACATCCCTACACCTTCCCCCCTACACACAGACCTACACCTTCCCACCTACAGACAGACACACACCTTCCCCCCTACACACAGACACACACCTTCCCCCCTATACACAGACACACAACTTCCCCCCTACATACAGACACACACCTTCCCCCCTACACACAGACACACACCTTCCCCCCTACACACAGACACGCAACTTCCCCCCTACACACAGACACACACCTTCCCCCTATAGGAAGACACTCACCTTCCCCCCTACAGACAGACAAACATCTTCCCCCTACACACAGACCTACACCTTCCCACCTACAGACAGACACACACCTTCCCCCCTTACACACAGACACACACCTTCCCCCCTACACACAGACACACACCTTCCCCCTACAGACACACCTTCGCCCTACACACAGACACACACTTTCCCTCCTACACACAGACACACACCTTCCCCCTACACACAGACACACACCTCCCCCCTACACACAGACACACATCTTCCCCCTACAGACAGACACACACCTTCCCCCTACAGACAGACACCTTCCCCCCTACAGACAGACACACACCTTCCCCCTACAGACAGACACACACCTTCCCCCTTACACACAGACACACACCTTCCCCCCCTACACACAGACACACACCTTCCCCCTACAGACACACACCTTCCCCCTACACACAGACACACACCTTCCCCCTACACACAGACACACACCTTCCCCCCTACACACATACACACACCTTCCACCCTACACACAAACACACACATCTTCCCCCCTACACACAGACACACACCTTCCCCCTACAGACAGACACCTTCCCCCCTACAGACAGACACACACCTTCCCCCTACAGACAGACACACACCTTCCCCCCTACACACAGACACACACCTTCCCCCCTACACACAGACACACACCTTCCCCCTACAGACACACACCTTCCCCCTACACACAGACACACACCTTCCCCCTACACACAGACACACACCTTCCCCCCTACACACATACACACACCTTCCACCCTACACACAAACACACACATCTTCCCCCCTACACTCAGACACACACCTTCCCCCCTCAGACCTCCCCATTCCCTTATGTCAGCTTACGCTCCGGCTGCCTTTGGTGCCTGGGGAGGAGAGCACAGTCACCCTGGTGAGATCCCCTCTCCCCTCCTCTGTCTCCCTCTCCCCCTCCCTTCTCCCCTCCTCTGTCTCCCTCTCCCCCTCCCGTCTCCCCTCCTCTGTCTCCCTCTCCCCCTTCCGTCTCCCCTCTTCTGTCTCCCTCTCCCCCTTCCGTCTCCCCTCCTCTGTCTCCCTCTCCCCCTCCCTTCTCCCCTACTGTCTCCCTCTCCCCCTCCCGTCTCCCCTCCTCTGTCTCCCTCTCCCCCTCCCGTCTCCCCTCCTCTGTCTCCCTCTCCCCCTTCCGTCTCCCCTCCTCTGTCTCCAATCTGACTCATCCCTGTCGTCCGTGGTCTTGCCTTTCATCCCTCAACGTTTGATTCAAAGTAACACTTTTGGAGGTGTCAAGACTCTGTCTCTCCCAGAGGTCTAAGCTCTTTCTCTCTCCTTGTTCTCACTATCTTCAGTTCAACCCTGATCACTGAAGGAGATGTAATGAGCTCTAACATGACATCTTGTTTTTGGGGGAATCTTAGTTCTTAGTGATTGTATCTACAGATATCTTCAATGTAGGTTTTCTTTTGGATTAAAAATATCTTTGGCTCTTTTGCATGCAACAATACAGCCGATAAGGTGTGAGAGAAACCGTGGCCTTTCTCTGATCTGATAGTGATTAGCTGAAAGTGATTAGCTAATTAGCTGAAATCCCTTTCTGTGAGGGGCCTTAGTGACCTGATAGCCAGTCCAGACAGCGCCTGTCTTTGTCCATTGATGAGTGCTCTGCTGCTGTGTTGCTGTGTTGCTGTGCTGGGCTTCAATGTGGTGTGGTATGAGAGCATCAAAGGTTAACTCAGCTCTCTGTTACCCCCCACAGGAGAGCCCTGTCCAGAGAACGGCCGCAGCCCCGGCTCCGTGTCCACCCAGCACAGCTCCCCACGCAGCGACTTCACCAATGTCACGTATCCTGGCAACAACGCAGCCCCACCCACTGCCGCCATGGGTACAGGTAGCACCACAGACGGGGCGCCGACCTCCAACGTGCAGCAGCCACCTAGTGATGTCATTATCCACCGCAAGGAGAGTGAAGGGTTTGGATTCGTCATCATCAGCTCGCTCAACCGGCCCGAGACCGCCGCCACCATCAGTGAGTGCTGCTCTGTGTGTGTGTTTGAGTGAGTGACTGTGTGTGTGTGAGTGAGTGAGTGAGTGAGTGAGTGAGTGAATGAGTGAGTGAGTGAGTGAGTGAGTGAGTGAGTGAGTGAGTGAGTGAGTGAGTGAGTGAGTGAGTGAGTGAGTGAGTGAGTGAGTGAGTGAGTGAGTGAGTGAGTGAGTGAGTGAGTGAGTGAGTGAGTGTGTGTGTGTGTCCGTCCATGAGTTGTTTACATTACAATGGCATATTATTATGCTCTTGAGTTTTCATGTATTTTAGCCCAGCAGATCCGGTCGCTCCAAGCGGAGATAACCATATCCATTTTGACAAAAATTGCTGAGAGGAAGAGGTCACAACTATATAAAACATGTAACACCTCTATTTTTTAACCATGTACTCCTCCTCTAACCATCTGACCCATCTCAATTATACATGGTTTCCTGACTGTATCAGTCCCTCAGATCTGAGGTAGCTAGGCTACTGTACGCTACTGTAGTGCTCTGCCCACGCTCGCCGTGCATAAAGCCAGCTTTCTTACATAAGTCGAGAGGGGGGCGAGAGAAATATGAAAAGAGCGAGATAGAAAGAAGAGAGGGAGAGATGGAAAGAAAGCAGCCAACCAGTAAGATTAGCCTGTACTCAGACCTGTCCTCGACTAACCATATCTGTGTGTCTCTCATTCTGTGTGTACTGTCCTCCTCCTCTCCTCCCATCCCAGGCGTGCCCCATAAGATTGGGCGTATCATCGACGGCAGCCCGGCGGACCGCTGTGGCAAACTGAAGGTTGGTGACCGCATCCTGGCGGTGAACAGTCAGTCCATCATCAACATGCCCCACGCCGACATCGTCAAGCTCATCAAGGACGCCGGCCTCAGCGTCACCCTCCAGATCATACCACAGGAAGGTGAGTGAGACGGGAGACAAGGGTCACTAGACTGGAGATAATGGGGGGGCCAAGGGGTCAGCAGAGAACTCTATACTGGGGATGTGGGGGGACTTTCAGGGACTGCTGTTTAAACTGCTGTTTAAACAGGTTTACCATCTTTTTTAAAGTGATGAGTTGTTCTATCTCTGGCTATGGCACTATTTGCATGGATCAGCGAGTGATATGTCTGTTTGGGAGAAAACTGTCTAGTGAGTCTGTTCCGGTTTCTGTCACCATCTTCTAATGCTTCATGGTTGTTTCTGGTTATGATGAGCATCTACTGTAGATCATACACACAGAGCATTGTACTAACATTTATTTGAAGTAGATGCACCGTGTATTACGCTAATGTGGCTCTGTCTAGCATAGTGTATGCTGCGGTGTGTATCGATCTGTCACTGTGTCTGTCTGACACTGTCTGTCTGTCTGTCTGTCTGTCTGTCTGTCTGTCTGTCTGTCTGTCTGTCTGTCTGCGTTTCAGAGCTGAGCCCGTCAGCCCCTAGCTCAGAGAAGCAGAGCCCAGTAGTGACCCAACAACACAGTCCCCAAGCCCAGCCCAGTCCCACCGTGGCCCAGCCCAGTCCCACCGTGGCCCAGCCCAGCCCTGCTGTCACCCAGCCCAGCCCTGCAGTCACCCAGCCCAGCTCCCTGACCCACCAGAGCCCCATCACCCAGACCCCAGCCCCCCCACCCCAGATCTACACCCACGACAGCAGGTAAGGCAAACGGATTGTCACACACACAGACGCACACTGCTTAAAAACACACACCAATTCATAGCACACAGACCAGTTCTAAATATTGATCCATCAGGATATGGCCATAATTTACTCAGACATGCAGCATTTGAGTGCCCTATAATGTCCTATTTATTAAAATAATTTAAAATGGTTGATAATGTATGTGTATGGCTTAATGTCATCTTTAAGGCTTCCTCAGTATTGTACTGTCTGCTAGTCCCAATGCTCTGGAAGTCCCAAATATCTTATACAGCACATTTGGAAAACTCACTGTATACAACACAGTATTATTTTTATATATTTTTTATCTCTGGGGTAAAAGCACTGTTCCTAAGAGAATTACAGGTGAGAGTGAGGTATACTCTCCCTGTCTCCAGTTTGTTGTGTAACATCACTTAACTCTTATGGACTCCTGAATTATTAACCTAAATAGCTTCTTTATAGACCTAGGCTGAATATTTTATCAAGCTCTACAGGGGGCCCAAAATGTACCCTGTCATTGTCCTCTCGCTCCTGCTCTGGAGAATTCCGCAAAATCTCTGAGTACTCTTATGTATTGCCAACTCTGTAAAAGACTGGAGTTTCTTTTCATGTGGTTCGGGGAAAAAAAAGATTTCACTTACAGTGAGGGAAAAAAGTATTTGATCCCCTGCTGATTTTGTACGTTTGCCCACTGACAAAGACATGATCAATCTATAATTTTAATGGTAGGTTTATTTGAACAGTGAGAGACAGAATAACAACCAAAAAATCCAGAAAAAACGCATGTCAAAAATGTTATGAATTGATTTGCATTTTAGGGAAATACGTATTTGACCCCTCTGCAAAACATGACTTAGTACTTGGTGGCAAAACCCTTGTTGGCAATTACAGAGGTCAGACGTTTCTTGTAGTTGGCCACCAGGTTTGCACACATCTCAGGAGGGATTTTTTCCCACTCCTCTTTGCAGATCTTCTCCAAGTCATTAAGGTTTCGAGGCTGACGTTTGGCAACTCGAACCTTCAGCTCCCTCCACAGATTTTCTATGGGATTAAGGTCTGGAGACTGGCTAGGCCACTCCAGGACCTTAATGTGCTTCTTCTTGAGCCACTCCTTTGTTGCCTAGGCCGTGTGTTTTGGATGATTGTCATGCTGGAATACCCATCCACGACCCATTTTCAATGCCCTGGCTGAGGGAAGGTGGTTCTCACCCAAGATTTGACGGTACATGGCCTCGTCCCTTTGATGCGGTGAAGTTGTCCTGTCCCCTTAGCAGAAAAACACCCCCAAAGCATAATGTTTCCATCTCCATGTTTGACGGTGGGGATGGTGTTCTTGGGGTCATAGGCAGCATTCCTCCTCCTCCAAACACGGCGAGTTGAGTTGATGCCAAAGAATTTGATTTTGGTCTCATCTGACCACAACACTTTCACCCAGTTCTCCTCTGAATCATTCAGATTTTCATTGGCAAACTTCAGACGGCCCTGTATGTGTGCTTTCTTGAGCAGGGGGACCTTGCGGGCGCTGCAGGATTTCAGTCCTTCGCGGCGTAGTGTGTTACCAATTGTTTTCTTGGTGACTATGGTCCCAGCTGCCTTGAGATCATTGACAAGATCCTCCCGTGTAGTTCTGGGCTGATTCCTCACCGTTCTCATGATCATTGTCACGTACGTTAAGGAACGGGACGGACCAAGGTGCAGCGTGAAAGGCGTACATGTTTATTAAAGAATAAACACACGACACAGTAACCAAAATAACAAAACTTAACCGTGACGGTCCAAAGGCTAACACACAAGCCTAAAACAGGAACACAACAAAAACCCACAACACAGGCAGGAAAACTGGCTGCCTAAGTATGATCCCCAATCAGAGACAACGAGCGACCGCTGCCTCTGATTGGGAACCACACCCGGCCAAACATAGAAATACAAACCTAGAATATATTCACACCCTGACCAAACTAGCTAGAGTTCTATAGGCCAGGGCGTGACAATCATATATATTTGGTGTTTCTTCCATTTGCGAATAATCGCACCAACTGTTGTCACCTTCTCACCAAGCTGCTTGGCGATGGTCTTGTGGCCCATTCCAGCCTTGTGTAGGTCTAGAATTTTGTCCCTGACATCCTTGGAGAGCTCTTTGGTCTTGGCCATGGTGGAGAGTTTGGAATCTGATTGATTGATTGCTTCTGTGGACAGGTGTCTTTTATACAGGTAACAAGCTGAGATTAGGACCACTCCCTTTAAGAGTGTGCTCCTAATCTCAGCTCATTACCTGTATAAAAGACACCTGGGAGCCAGAAATCTTTCTGATTGAGAGGGGGTCAAAAACTTATTTCCCTCATTAAAATGCAAATCAACTTATAACATTTTTGACATGCGTTTTTCTGGATTTTGTTGTTGTAATTCTGTCTCTCACTGTTCAAATAAACCTACCATTAAAATTATAGACTGATCATTTCTTTGTCAGTGGGCAAACGTACGAAATCAGCAGGGGATCAAATACTTTTTTCCCTCACTGTACCACCACTAGAGTATTGCCTCAAAGGTAGTTTGATTGTAACAAACAGGGTATTTCTGAATAACTTAGAATTTGACATGAATTGATTCAGAGAGCATTACCTTCACAAAGCACTTAACTGAATGAAGTTGGAGCATTCATATGAAATGCTTGTAGTGAAAACCCACTGGGCACACTACATCATTTCAACGTGGGTAATTGGGTAATATTTGGTTGAGAACTTGATCAATGAGACTACAACATACTGTATATTCACCCACTCAAAAAGACAGCCAAAAGTTAGTTCAATTTCCAATGTGTTATCACTATGCATTCAACCATCTAAAAGCATAACCAAATTCCAGTAGGAAATCAATGTCAGGTTTTTGGTTTAGTTGTCACCCAAATGTCTGTCACTGCGCTTTCAACCATTTAAAAGCACAGCAAAGTTCAAATGGGAATACAATGCCAGATATTTTGTTTATTTATACAACAGATTAATGTGTTATCACTGTGCTTCATCTAATAGCAGAACCAAATGATCTGGATTGCAATTGAGATTACATTAAAAGTACATGGTGCAGGTGATTAATGCTGTTCAAGATTCTGCACAGATTATTACAGCAATTGTGAAGATCTCCACAGACCTGCGACAACCTATACATGCTATCTTGTACATGCACGCTTTATATGATTACATAATAAGGATTTTATAGTTACTCAACCTCAAAATGTGGCCCTGGATGTGTTACTAATTTTAACGTTGAATGTTACATTAGTTTGTTCGATAGCCTTCATTTAGGCTATATTTAATTGTGTTTGGTTGACAAAGCAACCAAATATCAACATTTAAAGGAGATGTATCTACTGATTGCATAGTTCCATCTGAGCCACTGGCTTAATCCCATTCTTTAACTTGTATTTTGGATTGAGTTGGAGACATGAATCCAACATATAATGTGTTAAACTTGTCAACAAGTTAATATGCTATTCATTGTTTATTGTATTTCAAACATTTAATTGTGTTTGATTGTCAACACAACAGTCAAAGTTAAAGAATAGGACTGAACTCGAGATAGCATAGCACTTTAAATGCACTTTAATTCAAGTTGGATTTGATTTAGTCCTATTCTTTAACTTGTATTTTTCGTTGAGATGGAGATGTGAATCCAACATATCAGTTATTAATTTGTAGACAAACTGGAATTAAAGCCAGACTAAGTCAGTGGCACAGATGGAACTATCCAAGCAGAAGATACATCTCCTTCAAATGTTGATATTTGGTTGCGTTGACAACTAAACACAATTCAATATAACTAAACATCATTACATTTGAAATCAACCAGAGCTTGAAACCCTAGACCTATTGTATTGTCTATTGTTAATTGAATTCTGGTCAGCCACCAATTGTGCAAGTTCACCCACTTAAAAAGATGAGAGAGGCCTGTAATTTTCATCATAGGTACACGTCAACTATGACAGACAAATTGAGAATTTTTTTTCCAGAAAATCACATTGTAGGATTTTTAATGAATTTATTTGCAAATTATGGTGGAAAATAAGTATTTGGTCACCTACAAACAAGCAAGATTTCTGGCTCTCACAGACCTGTAACTTCTTATTTAAGAGGCTCCTCTGTCCTCCACTCGTTACCTGTATTAATGGCACCTGTTTGAACTTGTTATCAGTATGAAAGACACCTGTCCACAACCTCAAACAGTCACACTCCAAACTCCACTATGGCCAAGACCAAAGAGCTGTCAAAGGACACCAGAAACAAAATTGTAGACATGCACCAGGCTGGGAAGACTGAATCTGCAATAGGTAAGCAGCTTGGTTTGAAGAAATCAACTGTGGGAGCAATTATTAGGAAATGGAAGACATACAAGACCACTGATAATCTCCCTCGATCTGGGGCTCCACGCAAGATCTCACCCCGTGGGGTCAAAATGATCACAAGAACGGTGAGCAAAAATCCCAGAACCACACGGGGGGACCTAGTGAATGACCTGCAAAGAGCTGGGACAAAAGTAACAAAGCCTACCATCAGCAACACACTACGCCGCCAGGGACTCAAATCCTGCAGTGCCAGACGTGTCCCCCTGCTTAAGCCAGTACATGTCCAGGCCCATCTGAAGTTTGCTAGAGTGCATTTGGATGATCCAGAAGAGGATTGGGAGAATGTCATATGGTCAGATGAAACCAAAATATAACTTTTTGTTAAAAACTCAACTCGTCGTGTTTGGAGGACAAAGAATGCTGAGTTGCATCCAAAGAACACCATACCTACTGTGAAGCATGGGGGTGGAAACATCATGCTTTGGGGCTGTTTTTCTGCAAAGGGACCAGGACGACTGATCCGTGTAAAGGAAAGAATGAATGGGGCCATGTATCGTGAGATTTTGAGTGAAAACCTCCTTCCATCAGCAAGGGCATTGAAGATGAAACGTGGCTGGGTCTTTCAGCATGACAATGATCCCAAACACACTGCCCGGGCAACGAAGGAGTGGCTTCGTAAGAAGCATTTCAAGGTCCTGGAGTGGCCTAGCCAGTCTCCAGATCTCAACCCCATAGAAAATCTTTGGAGGGAGTTGAAAGTCTGTGTTGCCCAGCGACAGCCCCAAAACATCACTGCTCTAGAGGAGATCTGCATGGAGGAATGGGCCAAAATACCAGCAACAGTGTGTGAAAACCTTGTGAAGACTTACAGAAAACGTTTGACCTGTGTCATTGCCAACAAAGGGTATATAACAAAGTATTGAGAAACTTTTGTTATTGACCAAATACTTATTTTCCACCATAATTTGCAAATAAATTCATTAAAAATCCTACAATGTGATTTTCTGGATTTGTTTTTCTCATTTTGTCTGTCATAGTTGACGTGTACCTATGATGAAAATTACAGGCCTCTCTCATCTTTTTAAGTGGGAGAACTTGCACAATTGGTGGCTGACTAAATACTTTTTTCCCCCACTGTAGGCCTAAATAGCATCATTGATGATATATGAGTGATAAAGTATGGTCAGATTTCATTTGCTCTGTTAAACCTACCCTTCGGAATGACTTTGATAGCAACAGTGAATCTATTTAGTTTTTAAGTGGAGATCTCGAAACAATCATTCTCAAGATAGCACAGTGGTAATAGTCAGTGACAAATATAATATCTAAGCAGGGAAGGGCTTGGTTAAAACCCTTGATTGGAGACCAAAGGATAGCTGTAGGTAGATCAATTCTCCAGTAGGAGGTGCTTCCCAGCCTATTGTTTTGAAGATCTGACACTGTTTTAAATGTACAAATTCAACATATTTTATACAATAGTATGAAAATAATAATAATAATAATAATAATAATAATAATAATAATAATCATAATAATAATAATAATAATAATAATGTATGCACTCACTAACTGTAAGTCGCTCTGGATACAAAAATGTAAAATGTAACATAATCATGTGGTTGAAATTTCACCCTCAGAACAGCAGTTTACGTTGATTACTTTTTTCAAATCCAATGTATTTTCCACGTAGATTCCACGTGACAATACATTGACAAATTACGTTGTAACAATGTTGATTCAACCAGTTAATGCCCAGTGGGAAATGTTCCTTTAACTTGATTGGTTGGTTAGTTACAGGTCAGAGGTGAAAGCGAGGCAGGACGTGAAACCGGACATCCGACAGCCTCCATTCACAGACTACAGACAGCCCCCGTTGGACTACAGACACCCTCCTGTAGCAGACTACCGCCAGCCGCCCACCCTGGACTACAGACACCCTCCTCTGATGGACTACAGACAGCTGTCCACTGACCCCAGGCACTTCCCCATGCCTGTGCCCCACGACTACAGACAGATCCAGCCACAGATGCCACAGATGCCACAGGTCTACCAGGTCAGATCCTTTACTCATCAATACAGTATTGACCTGGGATGTCTGAAAACTTTTACTTTACCTTTACTTTACATGCTACTTTTATTTTTAGCATGTAAAGCCGTCAAATACATTCAACTGAAATACATGGGCATTGACAAGCAAGAAACAGTAGTTCAGGTAGAGAGGTTAACGAGGAAGATGTGGTAATTCTAGCCTGGTTAAACCAGACTGAATTCTGCACTGAGTTAAACAATGGTGAGCGCAGCATTCAGTCTGGTTTAACCAGGCTATAGTAATACACATGGCCATTAGCTTTTGTGATGGTGACTGATGGCCTTCCCCTCCTTCCTGGTTCTTACTGCCTGTTGTCTGAATGTGTCCTGCTCCTTCTCCAGGACTTTGACTTCTTCACCGTGGAGCTGGAGAAGAGTATGAAGGGGTTTGGCTTCAGTATCCGTGGAGGGAGGGAGTACAAGATGGACCTGTTTGTCCTGCGACTGGCCGAGGACGGACCCGCCATCCGCAACGGGAGGATGAGGGTAGGCTGATGATGATGTCACATCCTGCGCTGAACTAACACTTCCCCCCAACATACTTACAGTAGCTTCTCTCCCAACGCTGGTTTAGTGGGATATTAATAATAATTGTTTGCTAGTTTTAATTGACTGATTATTATCTTGGCAGCAAATTGCTATTTTAAGCCCTGTAAGAAAATAATCTGCTAATGCAAAATGGCTGAGTGTGGCTGAGTGTGTGAAGGATTTGGGATGTTTTGACATGCTGGGTTAGTGGGTTTACAGGCAGCAGAAAAATATCTCTAGTCTAGTCAATAATACATTAGGTACTATAAACATTTAGATTAATAATTAAAGGGTGGCTGCTTTTACCAGTAATAATTTTCACGTTTGTCCGTTTCATAATGAGGGTACTATCTGCCGGTCACCATCTGTAAAAAAAATACAATTATTTTCTAAACTGAAGTTCAAATGTAGTACTCTTTGTAAAAAGATGCAGAGCGTGCAAAGCTTTTAGTTTTTCCCCAAGTTCACGCCTTCCTCCCATCACCTCTCTCTCAACAACTGTATATGTTCTTGTAGCCTGCTATGCTCATCCAGAGTCACTCTGACCACTTTATGGCACACAAAAAAAAAATGGAAATCTCACTTTACTTTTCCGATATCAAAGAGTATATTACAAGTCTGTCATAGCAGTTTTTCTATATCTCCTGAAGTATCTTGATCGTCTTCCACCCGTCACACTTTTCTCTCTGCCCAATCTCCCTAGTGTGGGCCAATAGCGTCATCACTGTACATTCCTTATCTGTAATGAACCTGTCAGAGATAATGTGTGTAAAACGCCCCGTGAGGATATTACTCTCACTCCGCCACGGCGAGGTAAATGCAGCTCGGAGGGCCCAAGCCCAAACCCATCCGACTGGAGATGAGGGATAGCTAACGGTCCGTGTCTCTCTCTTCAACGCCCGGGCCGGTATTGGGATTTATCCTTCAGTAATCACAGCTTTAAAGGCCCACTCAAACTCTGCAGTCCGCCACATAGAGGCCCAGTTTGAACTCTGATCATGGGGGAGATGAATGGTCGAGGGGGAAAGGTAAGATCATCTAACACCGTTGTTGAAATGAACTGGGCTGGCCCGGCTGGCTATATAGTATAGTACTATTTACACGGCTCAGACTCTGGTGCACTATATAGGGAATAGGGTGCTGTTTCAGACACAGCCTTAGTAAGCTTGGCTGAACTCGAGATAGCATCTAGAGGAGAGACAATCCAAGGATAGCCATGCTTCATCTGGACCCTGGAGGTCATACTACTGAGGAAGCTGTCGGCTTGGTATTCAATTCTCCCATCCACCCCCAGTCATTTCCCATCAATTTAAAGGTGAATGACTCAGGCCGGCCTCAGCCATTCACTGTCAGAATGTGTAGATGGACGGGCTGCCCAGCTCCGCTCAGATCAGCCTAATAACACTTAATGACTCCCCTCTCTCTCTCTGTTGCTGGGCGGATTCTCTCTCCTCTCGCTTTTAAATTACTTCCACTATTAGCCAAGGACTTTTCCATTTGTTACAGTAATTGGTTTATACATTTGGCGCCGCAGCACGTGGCTCCTACACTATTAGTCAAGATGGCACTGGTCCCATTCCAAGTGATGGAAGTGTGTTAGTGAGATCCTTCAGGGGATATGCCTATACTATTGACTTCCGACCTTGATCTTGTAGTCACAACCTTTTCACTGTAGTGCTGGAAGGAGGTGTAGTCTACTTAGTGTAATGAATAGGTTACTACCAGGTCTTCAGCTGCTATGTTTAGGCCTGGGTCATATTCATTAGGAATAAGTTTTGCAACGGAAAACTAAAACTAAAACATTATTGGACGGATTCAGGTACTCTCTCCCTGTTTCAGTCAATTTTCTTCCATTTGTTACGGAATTAACAACTCCCATGACATTGGTATTCAGGAGGGTATCCTCTTTAGTCTCAGCCCACCTGCAGGGAAGAGTCTGTCTGCCGTAATTCAATCTAAATGACATTATAAAAACGGGCTGCAGGAATTAATGACAACTGACACCACATTCATGAGTGCTAATTCTGATTAACGCTTTACACTGGCCGCTCTGATCCCTCTGCACCACCATGATTTATAGATCCACACTGATCCTAATAAATTGTGATCCACAATAAATTAGCCTTATTAATTTTGTACTTTAATATGTAGTCTGTGTGCTTATCTCAGAGGCCTTCCAAGAAATAATTATGTTGGTGGTTGCGGCGGTGTGTGCCAGCGTTCTTCCATAATTTGTTCATCTAATCAAGCAATTGGTGTGAACTTGTCACGCAATATAACACATGTTTATATAACACGGGGCGCTCAGTGGGTTGGTGATTTAGAGGTTATTGTCACAGTGGTCTATTGTCTATTTATTGTCTGTGCAGCATCTGCATGGCAACAGGACACACAAACAGCAGACACACACATACACACACACACACACACACACTGTCTATCTATCTAGCTATCTATCTATCTACAGTATCTATCTATCTGTCTCTCTCTCTCTCTCACTCTCTCACTGTCTTGTCTCTCCTCCTCTCCAGGTAGGGGACCAGATCATTGAGATCAACGGGGAGACCACCAGGGACATGACCCACGCCCGGGCCATCGAGCTCATCAAGTCAGGGGGCCGGCGGGTGCGTCTGCTCCTGAAGAGAGGCACAGGGCAGGTCCCAGAGTATGGTGGGTTTCCCCTCTATCCCTCTAACCCTGTGTTTACCCCCTCAAAGGACCCCCAGGCCAAGGCTCATCTAGCTGTAACACACTGAAATCCACCTGCTTACCTTCTAATCTGATCTGATTTCAGTAACACTATAATCTCTTTAATCACATTTTAAAAGTCACACACACTTCTAAAATGATTACGTCTATAGATTATTCTATACTCAGTCTTTCCTCTAGAAGCTGTTCACCGGTAACATCAACATCGACGTTATAACCATAACTCTGCTTATGTCTGGCATGTCTTTCTTTTAATGTAGTTATATTTTCTATATCCATAGCAATGTCTTTCTCTCTACTTAATACTTTAACACTGATAAACTTGTCTTTCTCTTGACTAACAGTAGTGTAACTCTTCCTTTCAAGGCCTCTGGTTTAACCCTAATGACTGGTATAGGTTGTTACTCCCCTTTCCTTAGGAATGGTACCTTCCAGTCTCTCCATGTGCATGAAAAGTGACAAGCATGGCTCCCCCTATTTCTTCCTAATGGGCCCCTCTAAAGACACGGTTTGTGAAGATCTGCATGTTCCAGTCTAATTCTACTTGGTGTCGTGGTTTGTGGTGTGGTGTGGTTTTGTGTGCCCGTGCCGTGTGGTGCAGCTGTGACTTCCTGGTCAGAACACACTGGCTCCTCCTCTCCACTTCAATCACAGTGACATCACCATAGTTCCTCAGCTATTGGGGCTTTCAAGACAACTGGGAACTCTGAAAAAACAAGGTCAAATCATGACGTCACTGATCTTCAGGTCGGAAAGTCGAAGCTTCAGAAAGATGGCCGAGTTGGATTCCAATATGTCTCCCGAGTGGCGCAGGGGTCTAAGGCACTGCATTGCAGTGCTAGCTGTGCCACTAGAGATCCTGGTTCGAATCCAGGCTCTGTCGTAGCTGGCCGCGACCGGGAGACCCATGGGGCGGCGCACAATTGGCCCAGCGTCGTCCAGGGTAGGGGAGGGAATGGCCGGCAGGGATGTAGCTCAGTTGGTAGAGCATGGCGTTTGCAACGCCAGGGTTGTGGGTTCGATTCCCACAGGGGGTTGAAAAAATATATATATATAATAAAAAATAATAAAAAATAATAATGTATGCATTCACTAACTGTAAGTCGCTCTGGATAAGAGCGTCTGCTAAATGACTAAAATGTAAAATGGAAATGGAATTCCAAGTTGGATGACCGCTCAAAACGATTTTTCCCAGTCGGAGAGTACCCAGTTGTCTTGAACACACTTAAGTAGGAGATTTCCAAGTTCCCAGTTGTTTTGAACGCGGCATATGTCCACATGGTCATCAGGCCAGCCCAATGGAATTATTATACTGTATGTACACACAATAAATACATATTACACATTTAGAAAGATCCATGAACCAACTTTTACAAAATAGCGACACAAACTGACAGCCACTATCGTCTAGATAGATTAGTCAGAAATACATAGGCAGACTATTTCCTGTGATGAAATCCCACCGTGGTGCACGCTGAGCCTCCTAACAGACATTTATGTCCCCTGCACCTCAGGGAATGACAGCACCTAGCGGCCCGCTTGGTAATAAAACCCTGATGTGTCAGACTCTCCCATAGCCTCTGTAACAGAGAGTCACACTCCCGGCCTGTGGGTAGTGAGTTAGCGCTGAGGCTAGCACACATGACTCTTCCACAGCCAGCCAAGGCCTCCACTGTGAAATACAGTCATCAGCACTTGGCTTTGGCAGGAGACCAGGGTTTTTAAACACAGGAAATAGTATTGTCTGTCTCCATCTTCGCTGCTAGGCGACTTCTGACTTCCTCTCCCAGTCGGGGACTCTCAACGGCCCTATTTCTGTCTCTTTTACTCTGTCTCGCTTCCCCCCTCTCTCTCTCCCTCCCTCTCTCTCCCTCTCTCCCTCCCTCTCTCCCTCCCTCCCTCCCTCTCTCTCTCTCTCTGTTTCGCTCCCCCCCTCTGTCTCTCTCCCTCCCTCTCTCTCCCTCTCTCCCTCCCTCTCTCTCTCTGTCTCGCTCCCCCCCTCTCTCTCTCTCCCTCTCTCCCTCCCTCTCTTTCCCTCCCTCTCTCTCTGTCTCGCTCCCCCCCCCCCCCCCCCTCTCTCTCTCTCCCTCTCTCTCTCCCTCCTTTCCTCCATCAGAAAGGGTTTTTCTATTACTTGCCCGAGGGTGACGTAAAGCTGTGAATTACGCACCATGAGCCCATTACACGGTCAGCCAGAGGACACCATATTAAATCACCAGCGTCACTTTTCATATCAACTATCAACCTGTGTGTTCTTGGCAGAGCAGTCACATAAAAGAGGAATAGCCATTTGTAACATGAATGTGGGGGATTGTGTGGGTATATGTAGATGTTTTACAGGCCTAGGTTTATCTGCATACTGGGAGGATGTAGAATTTATGGAGTTTGGTAGGCTGCTTGGGAATATTTAACTACATTTTGCAAAGTGGCCCTGTATTTTCAGCTAGTTTATACAGTAATTCAAAGCTTATAACAACTCCATCCTGATGAGATAATTAAGTTGAATAAAAGCTGTTTGCCCCATTTAGTACCACACAATATGATACTGTGTGTGTGTGTGTGTGCGTGCATGGACGTTTGTGAGTGTGTGGAAGTGTGCATGCTGTGTATTGTGTGGATGTATTAGTGCATGTGTACATTTGTCCACTCATACAGAGTATAGCGTACTAGAGTAGTGTATGTAGGTTGTTTTAAGGTCGGATCCAGTCAGCTAGCTGGGCAGCAGGGCCCTCACCCTTCAGAAGGAACAGAGCCATATCCAAGGTGACAGCAGGCATTAGCTCAGCACACATACTCCCTCCCACAATCCTATTGGGCCACACAGCCACCACGGGAGACGGATCGTCACTTCTTCAATACGCCAAGCAGTGGCTGATGGGTAGCGGAATGAGCTGGTGTGAAATTTCCAGGGTTTCAGAGTGCAACAGGCACCTGCATCGAATGTGAGCCTGCCCACTGAGCTCTCTCCCATCACCAGACCTTCCTAGCTGGTCTGGGAGTCCATCTAGTCTATAATGAGGCCTCATGGAGCTAGCCTCCCTCTTCCCCCCTTGCTAGTTAGACGATTGGAGCTAGCCTCCCTGGTGTCTTCCCCCCTGCCTGCCTGTTTGTAATAAATGATAACCCTGGGACTGCTAGCTCAGCGATGCAGAGAGAGAAGCTAACAGGCCTTGTGAGCTGCAGAAGCCTCTCAGGAGAAGGTAGAGCCCTCTAGGTTTAGCTGTTACCGTGGTTACTCAGTCCAGAGCACTGGTGGGGAGTCTCGAGCCAACAGGTTTTCTCTCCCGAGCCAGGCTGAAGCACCGCCTTTTTCAGCACATCATCTATTCCATTAAACCTGTTTTCGATTTTTCTGCCGGCTTCTTAGAAGTGCTGAGGCTTTAAAGGGAGCTAGGGAACTGAGATGTATGCTGCCTAAAAGTGAACTTGCAGTGTGTGACTTATAGGAGTGAATTGATATTTCACTTGCAGCCCATACCACAAAGACTGGGTTTGATTGTTGTGATTGCTACAATAAGGATGCTGTCATCCATGTAGAATAGAGGCTTGTTTTTTGGCTTGGTTTGTGTTGTTTGGTTAAAGCTATAGATTCATAGATATATCTCTATACGACGACCTTCCACTTAAGTCGACTTTTCACTCAGTCTCCCATTGACATCCATGCATGACTAAGTAAATGGAAGGTAGGATTCGCCCCTGATTGTTAAGTCTATCCTTTCCCATGTCTAACTGTGTGTTTGTGCCCCAGCAGACAGTACCTCCCCCTGGGATGCACGCCCTTCAGCCTCCCCAAGTCTGTCGGAAGTAGCCCTGCCCCCAGACACTCTGACCATGCCATCACCCTCATCTCATCTGACACCGCCCCAGCAGCCCCCAGGCCCCGACCTGGCTCACCTGCCACCTCCGGAGGTCCCGTGGGAGCCGGTGGCACAAGAGAGCAGGAGGGCGGAGCGCTCCCAGAGCCCCCGGAAGGCCCCGGCCGAGCCGCATAATCCGGACCAGACCGGCCACGGGAGGAGGGACCGGGACCGGCCCAGTGGGAGTGGCTGCAGTAGCAGGAGTGCCAAGCAGAAAGAGGGTGGCAGGTCCACCCGCGGAGGGAGTGGCCCCAAAGAGGGAGGGCTTGTGGGGAGGGATGAGCAGCTACCTGGGGGAGGGGAGGCCAAAAGCTCCTCCAGGGGGAGGTCTAAGGAGAGGATAGCCGGGGAGAGCAGTAGCAGCATGTCCCACGGGAAAAGAGAACCCACCCAGTCCCCGACAAAAGGCTCCAAGCCCTCATACACAAACTCTAACGGGAACGGCGGCAGCGGCTGTGGTACTCAGAGCGGCAGCAGCAGTCACCCAGACATTAGTGTCGGGCATCAGGGGGAGCCAGCGCAAGAGAAGCCCAGGCCCAGAGAGGCAGAGAGGGGCCCTGGAGAGACCCGGCCCTGCCGCCCCACCAAGATCACCAGCAGCGGCAGCACGGCAGCGGGTAGGAAGGCCACCGTGTCCCCTGGGCCCTGGAAGATCCCAGGCTCTGACAAGCTGCCCAGCACCCTGCACTCGGGCACGTCCACTGTGAGCAGATAACACCTTGGAGTATACCAACCACCACACCCCCAGGCCGGGCTACGCTAAGCCTGGCTAGCTCCTTCATTGGCTCCCCTCGCCCTGCCTCCACTCCCCCACCCCACCCTCTTGACCTCAGATGTAAATGGGGGTTCCTCCATGCGTTTTTAGAGAACCATTTTTATTTATATTGTACTCTAAATTATTTTGAGAGATATTTTACACCGACCACCTTAAGAACTGGAAAGCATCCACTTAAAAATTCAAAACAAGAAGAAACCAAGCAGAATGTGTGTAGCGTGACAGGATCCTTGAGCAGTGTTAAGGGGTCCGAATACAGGAACTTCATTTGGAAGTGCTCAAATCCCCACAGCACTCCAGTCGAGGACCTACATGCAAATTGAACCACTCACTGATTGGTTGACTGTGACACTGCAGTTTTTTATACAATGGAGTCTATTTTATGAAAAGGAATGTTGAAGAGGGTTTGCCTGTTTTTGTGTATTTTGAAGAGAGAGAATGAAAACCAACAACTAGAAAAAGAGTATACGCATTAATGGAACTTTGCCTTAAATAAGAGACTGTACGGGACTGAAGAAGCTATCCTGAATAATCTATCAAATGATATAGAAAAAAATATATTATATGATGAGTATTAATATGTGGGACATATGATCATCTCTAATGCATACCTAGTCGGGCCAATGGTAGTTTTGAGGTGCCACGTAAGCTAGACAAGCGAAGGAACACAACACCGTTTTTCAACACTCCCTTATAGCTTCCCCAGCCTATGATATTGCATTTCTGGTCTGCGTGGACCCATTCTACAAGACTGCAGTGGACTCTTAAGTGCTGTTTGTGCTTGAATCACCAATGACCAATGGTTGGGTCACAGGAGATACATTTCCCCCTCACTGTTCTTCACGAAAAAAGCAATTTGCTGAGGTTTGTCTGGTGGACACTGTGGAGAGAGTGAAGGTTCATGGGATATCGGGGCAGAGTGCCTTACGATCAGGGACCGACGGACAAAGAGGTCTGTTATGGACTTAGAGAACCTAGAACACTCTCTAGACTGATGTGGTTCAATCCAGGCTGCTACCGTACAGTCAATACCAATGTCCCAATATTCATATACATCTGTGCAATGACGGACAGTCATGTTTTTATATCTCTGATTGTTTAAATTTGTTCACTGTATTTACAGGCCCCACCGTATTTATTTGGTCAGAAAACATTAGCAAATCTGTCAATTTCCTTACATATTGAAGTTAGTTCCACAACTTTTTGGGGTTCTGATGGTATCTCATCGTCAGATATCAAAACGTCTAGGCAGAACATCTCTAACAGATGGTGTAATCAAGTTGTGTTTGGGGGTAATATGGCAAGTGTGTGAATGCAGGAAACTACATTAGTATTTCTGGTAGGGATCAGAGAGAGAGAGAAGCATTGCCGTTTGTCACAAGCTCATTCATCACTTAAATGTGTCTAATGGTCTGTGGCTTCACTTAACGCTGTACATTTGCACAAGACATGAAACACTTTTATCTCCCAAAGACGCATACGTATACAGTAAGGGAAAAAAGTATTTGATCCCCTGCTGATTTTGTACGTTTGCCCACTGACAAAGACATGATCAGTCTATAATTTTAACGGTAGGTTTATTTGAACAGTGAGAGACAGAATAACAACCAAAACATCCAGAAAAAACGCATGTCAAAAATGTTATGAATTGATTTGCATTTTAATGAGGGAAATAAGTATTTGACCACTGCAAAACATGACTTAGTACTTGGTGGCAAAACCCTTGTTGGCAATCACAGAGGTCAGACGTTTCTTGTATTTGGCCACCAGGTTTGCACACATCTCAGGACGGATTTTGTTCCACTCCTCTTTGCAGATCTTCTCCAAGTCATTAAGGTTTCGAGGCTGACGTTTGGCAACTCAAACCTTCAGCTCCCTCCACAGATTTTCTATGGGATTAAGGTCTGGAGACTGGCTAGGCCACTCCAGGACCTTAATGTGCTTCTTCTTGAGCCACTCCTTTGTTGCCTTGGCCGTGTGTTTTGGGTCATTGTCATGCTGGAATACCCATCCACGACCCATTTTCAATGCCCTGGCTGAGGGAAGGAGGTTCTCACCCAAGATTTGACGGTACATGGCCCCGTCCATCGTCCCTTTGATGCGGTGAAGTTGTCCTGTACCCTTAGCAGAAAAACACCCCCAAAGCATAATGTTTCCACCTCCATGTTTGACGGTGGGGATGGTGTTCTTGGGGTCATAGGCAGCATTCCTCCTCCTCCAAACACGGCGAGTTGAGTTGATGCCAAAGAGCTCGATTTTGGTCTCATCTGACCACAACACTTTCACCCAGTTCTCCTCTGAATCATTCAGATGTTCATTGGCAAACTTCAGACGGGCCTGTATATGTGCTTTCTTGAGCAGGGGGACCTTGCGGGCGCTGCAGGATTTCAGTCCTTCACGGCATAGTGTGTTACCAATTGTTTTCTTGGTGACTATGGTCCCAGCTGCCTTGAGATCATTGACAAGATCCTCCTGTGTAATTTTGGGCTGATTCCTCACCGTTCTCATGATCATTGCAACTCCACGAGGTGAGATCTTGCATGGAGCCCCAGGCCGAGGGAGATTGACAGTTATTTTGTGTTTCTTCCATTTGCGAATAATCGCACCAACTGTTGTCACCTTCTCACCAAGCTGCTTGGCGATGATCTTGTAGCCCATTCCAGCCTTGTGTATGTCTACAATCTTGTCCCTGACATCCTTGGAGAGCTCTTTGGTCTTGGCCATGGTGGAGAGTTTGGAATCTGATTGATTGATTGCTTCTGTGGACAGGTGTCTTTTATACAGGTAACAAACTGAGATTAGGACCACTCCCTTTAAGAGTGTGCTCCTAATCTCAGCTCGTTACCTGTATAAAAGACACCTGGGAGCCAGAAATCTTTCTGATTGAGAGGGGGTCAAATACTTATTTCCCTCATTAAAATGCAAATCAATTTATAACATTTTTGACATGCGTTTTTCTGGATTTTTGTTGTTGTTATTCTGTCTCTCACTGTTCAAATAAGCCTATCATTCAAATTATAGACTGATCATTTCTTTGTCAATGGGCAAACGTACAAAATCAGCAGGGGATCAAATACTTTTTTCCCTCACTGTACATTACAACTGACAACTGTCTAGATATTCATTTCAACATTTGTTTAGTCTCTAAGGGATGCCGTCTACATAGCCAGCGACGTTAATATATATACTGTACATCTCTCTCTACCAGATTGCGTCCCCAATTCATTTCTGAACTCTAGACAGTGGAGGGTCTGTCATGGGCCCTGTCTGCACTCTCCTATTACCAGCTCTCACACACACAGTTACACACACACACACACACACACACAGTTACACACACACAGTTACACAGTTACATACACACAGGTACACAGTTACATACACACAGGTACACAGTTAGACACACACACACACACACAGTTACTCCCACACACGCGTCCCTCTGAGCCGCCTTGTCATCCTATGATTAAGGCAGAGTGTAAAAACCCTCTCTCAAACCCTTTCTCTGGCCCTGGGTCTAACAGAGGCTAATTCATCTGTCGCTCTCTGATAACTATTGTACTGTACATGGAGATGTGAAGAGACTACAATCATCTAGTCATTATGATCATTACCAGACACAATAATCATTCTTGGCGATAAAAGAAAAGTCATTAAGGAGCATTCCGAATGTGTCCCCTTTAGTTTCTACAGACATCTGATTTTTGAGTGGTAATTTGCAGTGTGTGGAGCTAACAATCCAGCAAAGAGAGGATGACATTGGCCAAACAAAGCTGTCCCCCTCGGGTGGAAGAAATGCAGACAGTCTTTCAGAATAGGAGTGATATGAGAGAGGTGATTGATGCTCTGAGCCCATTGGAATCTCTATTTACGAGGAGAAAATAAAAAATGATTTTCTGACTTCTTTAAAGCACAAAGTGGTTCAGAGAATTGGCATATAAATTGTACTGGGGAATTGACACTGGCTCAGCCACTGTCTAGCCCTGTTTGAATACTTTAAGAATGCATCCTTCCTTCCTCTCATCCTTTTCTCCTAACTAACATCTTGTAAGATCACTGGTTACTTCAAGGAAGTAGGCAGCAGGTAGCCTAGCGGTTCAGAATAATCAGCCCATGTGCCCTTGAGCAAGGCACTTCACCCTAATTGCTCTGGATAAGAGCATCTGTTAAATGACAATAAAAAAATATATAATAATGTAAAGCAGTTACATGTTCATTCATGTAAGTTGGTACTGGTTACTTCAAGGAAGGATTCATTTGAACAGTGCCACTGGGTGTTCACTCCACAGGCAATCATTCCTATAGTTTCTGGACAGTCCTGACTGTATACTGCACCTTCATCACTAAGCCTATCATGACTTCTGTGTAGACTAGAGACAAGGAAGAAGAATGTCCTTCCTTCGTTTTGACCGTTCACCGCTTTTTCTCGTCTGAGCTGTCCCCCATTGAGCCAAATGTCAGTACTTTTCTATGGACATACAGTGCATTCGGAAAGTATTCAGACCCCTTGACTTTTTCCACATTTTGTTACGTTACAGCCTTATTCTAAAATTGATTAAATTGTTTTTTTCCCCTCATCAATCTACACAAACAGGGTTTTAGAAATGTTTGCAAAATTATATATATATATATCTTCTTTTTTTTTATATCACATTTACATAAGTATTCAGACCCTTTACTCCGTATTTTGTTGAAGCACCTTTGGCAGCGATTACAGCCTTGAGTCTTTTTGGGTATGACGCTACAAGCTTGGCACACCTGTATTTGGGGAGTTTCTCCCATTCTTCTCTGCAGATCCTCTCAAGCTCTGTCAGGTTGGATGTGGGAGCGTCGCTGCACAGCTATTTTCAGGTCTCTCTAGAGATGTTCGATCAGGTTCAAGTCCGGGCTCTGGCTGGGCCACTCAAGGACATTGAGACTTGTCCCGAAGCCAGGTTTCC